AGTGAATAATGGGCCAGCTTACTATGCTGGCCCTGGGATTCAACTAAGAACAAGACAGACACAACCCCTGCCTTCCTGAAGTCCCCGTGTTAGCACAGGAGACAGACCATCAACAAGTGAATGGATTAATTATGGGTTGTTGTGAGTGCAGAGATTCTATTAATAATAGCTAACATTTATTGGCTTCCTAGCTTACTATGTGTCAGACCTGTTCAGAGCCCATTTCATATATTCCCTCATTTTATCTTCACCACAAATCCAAGAGGTGGTTGCTGATACTTCCTCAATTGACCAATGAGGAAGCTGAGACACAGAAAAGTTGAGCATCCTGTCCAAGGCCACTCGGATAGTAAGTGGTGGCTCCAGGTGGAACCCAGGTCTGATGGACTTTAGAGTCTTGAACACTCGGCTCTTCTGCTAACGAAGGGAATACAGCGGGCTCTATGATAACGAATAACAGGTGTCCTGCTGATGGTCGCTGTTAGCAACAACAACAAATGCAGCAGAAAACCCATGGGAGCAAACCTGAATCCCTTACCTGGGTAGCCAGATGAAAAGGCTGGAAAAGGAGTGTGCCCACGTTTCTAAAAGTCGAATTCCAGGGGTTTGAGTTCCTTTGATCAGTGTTAGAAGCTCTGGCCACAGCAAGCTCAAGGCTGTCCAGGAGATGCTCACCTGCCAGAGACAAACAGAACCAGCTGTGACTGCCTGGTGGGTCGATCGCATCGGCTCACCTACCCAAGGTCTCCTTTTGTTTGCAATGCTCTCTTTGCCCTGCAGGAGGCAGTGTGACAAGGCAAACCCTGCAGGAGCTTGTGGTTACGCATCAAGATTGGGGAGCCATCATCTAGGTCCCTGCTGAACTAATCTGGAAACGATCCTAATATGCATGTGCCTGTGTATGCGTGTCCTGGGTGAAAATATACAAGCATCACACCCACTGTGTCTAGCACAGTGCTCTCCGCAGAGTGGGGAGGTTTGACAAATGTTTGACGATTTGCTTTGATGTAAAACATAATTCTATATGTCTGAGTGAATGGGAGGAAACTCTAGGGGTGTTAGGGCATTGAAGGAAAGTTCCTTTTTCATCAGAAAATGCATTCATCAAATGCAAATGGATGCTCCATCCATTCAGATCAATGGCCTCATTTTATCAAGGAGGAGACTGATGCCCAGAGAGGGTCAGTGACATGCCCAAAGTCACACAGAAAGCTGGTGGCAGAGAGAGGCCTGAATCCTGAGTCTCTCCTGACCCATGGCCTGGAGCTCTCTCCAGACTTGCAGCTCTGGCCACACAGCAGGAGCCTGCTGCCTGTAGGTGGATGTGACCCACCTCTACTCAGACCTGAGCTAGCACAGAGAATTGTTCTCTGGCTCTGTTCAAACCTGAGGTGTGCAAGCAGTGCCCATAGTGGTCAGGAGCGTGGGCTTTGGAGCAGGTGGACCTTGGCTGGATGCTGGAGCAACCTCTTTTCAGAAGCGGG